GGCAGAGACACGGAAAGGATTATACCACCTCTTTAGGTTTTCTGTGCACTGGAGAACTTGTTTTTGTTTTTCAGCTTTGGTTGTCGAAAGAGGCCATTCACGCAATCCTTCCCTAAACTGGTTCACGAGTCCAGCTGTGTTATGCGCCTCACAGTATATACCTGGGTGCTTGTGTTGGTGGGCCTGCCTGCCTGTCTCAGTCACCCTGGGCCGCAGACACCCCCAGTGGCGGTCAGTGCGCATTCCCACTAAACACATTTTAGCTTGGCTGCCGGTCGCTCCTGCTGACCAGTGACTCTTTTTTGGGGACTTTGGTGGTTGATGGACAAAGGAAAGCAATAATGAGGAGGAGAGTTATGGAGGGGGATGAAGAGAGAAGGGGGGAGTCGTGGATGTCGACTGAGAGAGGGTGATAAGGCATCGGCCACGGAGGGCCGAACGAGGGCACAGTGGGGGGGGGGGGGGGGGGGGGGGGGGGGCGTCATTTTGGTCGCATGGCAGGCGAAACACAATGCTATTGATGTGCACTGAAGAGGAAGCGATGGACAGATGATTGGGGAAGGCGAGAGATAGCATGAATGGAAAAATGAAGTGAGTAGAGAACTGGGAGACTGTGTAATTTGTATAGATAAGGGAGAAAGAGATGTCATTGAATATGTATTAATATTGCATTAAAACGTAAGAATAAACATAAAAAATAACAAGAAATGTAAATATGTAAGATTGCAATTGCTAAGCATGTGTATTAAATACACATTTTATTTGAAGATATTTAGTAAAAGGAAAGACAGCAGGGATGACAACTTTAAGAATTTATTCTCTCTCCTGTCACACAGTCCACAGTAGTTAAAGTCAGCACCCGTCCCGTTGTGTCTGTTTTTTATGGGTGTTTTGTGAGTTTCTGAGCCTGAGACATTAACACATCGTGTTGTGTCATGAGGAAGGTCACCAAGTCGCCGTTAACTGACAACTTTGACTGGCCTCACGCTGTGGCGACTGGGCACTACCAGTCACTGCGTGACTCAGACAGTATGAATCATCACCCATATACAGCTCTGGAAAAATTAAGATATCACTCTCTACTAAAAAAAAATCTTTTAAAATCCTGGTTCAACCCAGGTTCTACTTGCAGAAGACTATGCTGAACAGCAGGTTGCTTCCAGGTTCAGAAGTTCTAAGACAGCAGTACACAAGAACAAGGTGAAGCAGGAGACACTGAGCGACCAGAAACCAGCCAGGTAAAGAGCAGAAGTGACGTTCTAATGCCAGAGATGACTGTTAACTTATCCGACAATTGCTCATGTATCGTAGGATGAAATCATGTGACCTTAAGTCATTAACATTAAGTGCAGGTGTGAAGTGCACTGCTAGGACAGTTCGTATCAGGCTCCTAGAAGCAGGATTGAAGGCCCATAAAGCGAGGAAGAAGCCCTTCATTATTGAGAATCAGAGAAGAGCCAGGCAGCAGTTTGTAAAAAATATATATATTATTCACAGACGGACACCCACAAATCGAGAAATGAGTGAAAGAAAAACTTGCTGTGGTCTCTTCATTTTTTTCCAGAGCTGTATATTATGTATGACTCCACTCACAATTCTGCCATGGTACCTTTCTGGTTTGTTGCTGACGTCTTCCAAGGATTTTGGGTGGATGACGGTATCCATTAGCTGTAAGGACAGGAGACTCCAGCTGATGAGGTGGATGTAGTGCTGACCCTGCAAAGTCGTGGCTTCCATTCAGGCATGGCTCCGGCTCTCTGAGGGTCTAGTTTGCATTTACTTCCTGTGTTTGTGTGGGTTTCCTCCCACAGTCCCAACATCTGCAGATTAACTGCTGACTGGCCAGGTATTTGAGCAGCCTGTGTCGGGAATCCCCCCGACTGGACCCCTACATGTTTTGGGTGGATGGAATCTCCTCCTTTGAGATAAGTGATGCATTGAGCACCATCGATCAGCGTGATCGATCCAGTCAGTTTCCGTAGACAAGCTCCAGCTCCTGCCGTTCCTCCTGTGGTTCTTTCTGAATGATGTTATCCAGACCAAGAAGCGATCATCTGCCAGAACCTGTATTTTCTGAGTGAAACCACACACGGCAGTGCTGATAATCCAAGCACACAGATCACAGATTGTGTTTTTTTTATGGTAATCAAGATCGATCGTTATGCCGCATGAGCATTAAGTACGAAGTACTTCCTTCCGCACATCGGTACAGTCATTATAATCCAATTGGGTTACTTTTCACGTGGGTTAATTCCTTGTTGCTCTTCAGTTTGATGCGAGTTGAGTAATGCTGTGTGAGGTTAAGTGAGGGGACTAATCAGGATATGATTTAGAACAAAGCTCTTAACTGTGCATTACAGGTCCAGAAACTAGATATCCAGACCAGTTGAGGACTCTGTGACTCTGACTCTTTATACTCAATTGGTTGGTAGAAACAAAATCGTGGTCTGGATTTCTAGCTTTTGGACCTGAACTGCCAAACACTGGTTGTTAAAATCTTCAAGCACGAAATATAAATCTGATAGTGATTCATGTGGCTCATCACAGAATGAGGGTAGTTTTATTGCTTTGTATCTTTCACCACATACCTCTTTATATCAAACTGCACATATCAGTAACAACAATAAGTATCCAGTTTACATTTCACTACATGTTGTGTATGTACAACTGTGTACGTGACGAATAAACCTCTTTATGCAACTAATTTCAGTTAAATTTTAGGTAGTCAGAGATGTGTGAGAGCGAAGAGGTGGACATTTGCCTTTGTGTCAAGTGCCATGATGAGAAGAGAGGCCAGGTGTTTAAAGCATGCAAATGACATGCAGCAGGGCAATTACACAACAAAACACAATGACCAAGTCTGACATACAGATGCTCTCTTGCGACTTGCTGGGACCGGTGTGGCTTGGCTGAGTGCTGTGTGTGTACATGACATCGGTGTTATGCAGTTGAGTCGCAGGCATGGAATCTGCACGGTCAGAGAGACAAAAGGCAGAGGTGCCACAAAGCGCAAGAGACGGCAGCGTCGAGGGGAGCGATGAATATGAATTATGGATTTAGGTGAATTTTGGGCAAATTGCCCCAACTGACAGGACCGCTATGAATTATTAACCATGTGAGGGTCTGTCCTCCTGTCATTTATCACACCATCCCTGTTTCAGTTGCTCAGTGTCTCTGCTGATTCTCTCTGACTATACCACCCCCCACCCAAGGCTAGACAACAGACAGGAATGGCCCCCCAGACAACAGATAAAAATGGCCCACGGGGGACTTTGACAGGGTTAGGAGGGGGTGGCCATGTTAATTCATCCCTCTGTCCCGTCCTCCTCTCCAACACCCCCCCCCCTCCGCCCCCTTTACACATCTTCGCAGCTGGAGGTGTTAAATATTTAAAGGGGAGGAATGTGGAGGCACCTCACTCACAGATGCTGGCGTACGGGTTCAGCCCGGTGAGGCGGACCCTTATTTGGAAGGTGGCTCACTGCATGAAGCCATTGTATCCGGGACTGTTGGCTGCTACTGGGGTGATTTAGGTGGGGGGGCGGCCTTGGTTCATTGAACTGCCCCCCCCCCCTGGCCATGTGTGCAGATAACACACGCGTGTGTTTTTCCAGAACCTTGGCACACCTCTCCACTGCCTCCCCCCACCCCCAATGCCCGCCCCCGCCTCTCCTGTCACGCATAGTGACTTTTAACCCTCGCACGACCTTCCCTCTCACCACTGACAGTGAAAGGCGCTGAATTTTGGAGCCTAATGACAGCCTCCCTGGCAGGTCCACCCCGGCGGTCTGGACACAGTGGCCTGCTGCAGTGTGGCTAGGGTGGGGGTATTCAGTGTGATCTGACAGGAAGGTATAGGCAGTGAGGCTCTGGCTGCGGTAATCTTACACTACAACACCCCAACTTAACCCGAAGCCTGACACCCATCCCGAGGACCGCAGTGATGGCTTCATCTTAACATCTTAACATGGTGGGATGGGCCACCATATCTGGGCGTGATGGAGGGGGTCGGGGGCTGAGAGAAAGGGGGCGTAGGAGGGGGAGGGGATGGTAATGAAGGGAGGGGGAGAAGTGATGCGTAATTAAAGCCAACACAGCTGTCACCCTGCACCCGAGACAGGCCCGACCCACCCCCACCTCTCGCCCTTCATCTTGCGCATGTTGACATTTGGTGAGGGCTAAACAATGTAAGGAGGTGAAGGAGAAACAGTGTAAGGAGGTGAAGGAGAAATAGTGTAAGGAGGTGAAGGAGAAACAGTGTAAGGAGGTGAAGGAGAAACAGTGGAGCAAAGCCCACAGCTATTTTCAGATTGTACTGAATTCCCTTCCCTTTCTGGTCTTTGTTTGTCCACCCATCCATCCATCCATCCATCAACCTCATACCCTGGTCAGGGTCATGGGGTCTGGTTATTATTATTATAATAGTAGTTTCCTTAAAGCAGTTTCTATGGAAAGAGTTATAAAAAATCTTTCATAGTGGACTATCCAAGGCATTTCTGTTTGCCTGTGTCCTGAGCAGGGTTATTAAAGTTGATGAAAACTAAAACTAGGAGTGAAAAAAAAAATGTTAACTGAAATAAAAATAATAACAAAATAAAAATTGAAAACTAATGCAGATTTGAAAACTGTAATAACCCTGGTCCTGGGTGACACTGTAACCTGAGTTTCATTAAGAAATGTGACCACTGTGCAGTGCCAAGGTCACTGACTCGCCTTGCTCTCCTGGTCTCTTCCTGCCTGTTCTGTCGGCGTGACCCCACAGTCCGTCCATCTGCCCCAATCTCCCCCTGCTGCCTCATCCCCGCAGCGTTTGTTTGCATTTCACTGGTTTGTTTATTCATCCTCTCCCCTGCTACATGTTTTTGTATTTATCTCTGTCAGCCTTCCCCAGATAATTGCATTTTTGACTAACAAGCCTGCGTATTTTCCTCCTTCCTGCCTGGTTGACTCCTCTTTCTCATTTCTCGCTCCATTTCTGCATTTCTCCCACCGTTTTCCAGAGGAAGAGGAGACGGCTGGTGTGAGCGCGACCTGCCAGCGGCGCCCATTATAGACACCTTCACCTTCTGGAAGCTGCAGGAGGCCAACGGGAACCAACCTGCAGAAGCAGCTGTTAGTCCATACGCCCACGTGCCCACGGCCACGCCCCCTCGCCGTTCTGATTGGATGGGACAGTGAGCCATGTCTTCATCGCAGATTCAGCGGCTGGGCGGCCCCCTCTCCCTCGTCCCCTTCTCTCTGCTCCTGATCTTTATTCTCCACCCAGGCTGGGCAGTCATTCACATCCCAGAAGAGTGTGAGTACTCACTGTGTGTTTGCCAGTACTCACAAGTCTTGTTAATCAATAGTATTTCTCAATACCAAATTAAAGGGGCTCTTATGCCTTTCTGGATTTTCCCTTTCCTTGAGTGTGTTATATAGCATTATGTGCATGTAAACCGTCAGTTTAAGGCCGAAAGTACACAGCAAAGGGAGTAACACTCAGTACTGAAGCCACTCTTCTCTAATCTGCCTGAAAAGCCTTGTTGGAATTCCAGCCCTTACTTCCGTGACATGGTGAGGTCACCTCGTAGCACAATCCCTATTGGTCATCTACCTGCAAGAATCTATCTGCAGATTGCAAGACAGTGGCAGAATGTCTGAGGCAAGCTGACCAATCAGAGCACACTGGGTACATTGGGGGTGAGGCTTCAAACTCTAACAGAGCATTTCAGACAGAAAAATTTGTATTTTGGAAAATTGAAGCTGTGGAAGACTAACACAACCCTCCTTCCTTACTTAATACTTGCTGAACTTCTTGAGAATACTTCAGAGTGAGACTTTGTAAAGTAGTTTCTTTAATAAGCAGAAGAGCAAGAAGAAGCAGAGTATCCCTTGTCCCAAGGTGGTGACACACTAAACAAAGGAAAACAGCAAGTTTATATACCTTTCAAGCTTCCCTAAAAAGCATATGGCATTTATGATTGGCTACTATGATTGGATAAACACCTATCAAAAAACTCATCAGTTATGGTTGGTTATTACTTCACGAGGCATATCAATTATGATTGTCTCCTGCCTTGAGAGACACAGCACTTACAATTGATTACACAAAGCATTAGTTATGACCAGTTGCCTCTGGTTACCCCATCCCATGGTCATCATGTGACTTGACCCCCACCCCCCCCATGTACATTTATCACAGTGCATGCTGCACTGCCTGACATCACGCATTTCTTCACTCAAGGTTCATTACAGAACCTACCCCCTATTCAATCTATACCCCCATAGTTCAATACTATTGCTGTTACTGTTATCTGAAGCTTATATGTCCCTTATGCATACAAAATCTTCGGCATTAGCATAGCTGATCATATTGCAATACATGATCAATAAAAGGACTTTTGCAACAAACATTTTCCATTCAGTCCTCTTCTTATCAACTCCCCCTCAATCTTCTTGTTGATGCAGCCCCCCTTCTAGCCAACCTCTCGCCTCTCTTATCCATCTTACAAAGTATTTCATACCTCATCCTCCTTGAGGTGTACCCACAAGTTTCCTGTTTGTTTCTGCTCCTTTGCCTAGTGACCCAGACATCTGCAAAACAGCATGTATGCATAGAAAATCTTCACGCCTAAGGCTTAAAACATAGACAGCAATCACATAATGCCCCCCTCCCATTTTATCTGGTCAATTTCTCATCTGCGAAACATGTAAATCTATTCCAGTAGAAAAATAAAATTGTGAACAGTGAAACTGAGCATAATAGGGCCCGTTTAATGTCTATTTTATTCATAAGCTGCAGGTTTGTTATGTTTTCATACATACTACGAGCATGGGGGATGGGTAATATAGATGTTTTGTGTACTGAGTTCAGTCCAGATTGTTGGAAGTGATGCACAGCAGTGTGTATTATTGTGTGTGGGATTTAGCAGGACACACCCTGTCACCAAGCCTTCAAAGGTTAGGCTGCAGGGGTCATTGATGCCTGACTTTCAAATTTCAACCTTTGTTCTCTCTGACTGAAAGGTCCGGCTCCAATCAAGAAGAAAGCAATCAATATAGGGCCCCTATAAATTTGGCAGAGTGCAAAACATAAAGAAGGGGAAAGGGGGGGAGGGCTCAGACTGAGAACACGGAGCCTCTAACAAGGAAATCAGGATGATATAATCCTGACAGTGAAAGAATATCTGTACAACTGTAATACGGTGCTTGGTTTGAATTTAGGAACAGAACCGAGGAACAGGGGCACATAGAAAGATTTTGGGAGCCCCAGAGGTTAGATAGACATGGTATTAACACTCACCCCCCCACCACCAAGCAAACCCTAGGCATTAGTCACATTTTATACGTACCACACTAAGAGAAAAGCAGTGCAATGACTACAATGGAGAGAATGTTTCCCCTGTTTGTTTAAAACACCCCAGGGACCTCCCCCCCCCATCCTTACAAGAGCATCTGTCTGTCCTGGGGGTGCAAGCAGCCATATGATTCTCCCTCCTTCATACATGTCAATTTGCTCTGCCAGGACCGAAGCTATTTCAGTGCTGCAGGGCTTTTCCAATGAAAGGGTGTATATCTTCAAGCATAAAAGCTACATTGTGCCAAATATGGCGGCCATGGGGGCACAAGAGGCATAAGAGGATGAATAATATCCCGGGAGGGGCGAAGGTTATTTGGGGGAAATGGCAACAGGAGACAAGTGAGGGAGGGGGTTTGGGATGTAGGGGGAGGCAGGCCCCCCCCTCCCCCCCAAGTGGGTGGGCTCACGTCCTTTAGTGCTGTAGGTGGCTTGGGAGACCATCAACCTCCAGGCTATCTAACCACAGGGGAAGAGGAGACATTAGCAGCTTAACTGGGGAGGACATTCCCGCCCCACGGTTTGGATAATTAGCGACCGCCAGTGGAGGTCCCATTACGATTCCTCACGTATGGTTTCCGGGCCAACCGTGAGGAACCTGTCATTGCTGCTGGCTTGGCCGGTGCTGATCAAGGGTCACCGGTGGTGACGGATTCCCAATGGGTCGTTGCATCACACAGGTCACGTGACTGGAATATATTTACACACACTTTGTTGTTAGTAGGCTGCTCACAGTCCGCAGAGCACGTTGCAGGGCTGGGACATGACCTCGTTTTTCTGAGCATCTTGAAAACACTAAATACACACAAGTAGACGACTGTTCAGCCTTTTGAATTTGCAGTGTAACTGGAATGAGCAGAACTAATAGAACTTTCCCTGCCTCCTCTTTTTCATTCCCAATGCTGGACCCCCAGATCAAATAAGTAACTGTAAGTAATTTCCTGTTTTTCCTCCTCCTTTGGCTGATCTATTGACCTACAGAACTGATACATGGAAGGTAGATCAGGGCCAAATAAATATGGGGCTATTATTGTAGCCAAATTATTTACCAATGTGTATGGAGAGCTGTGTGACTGTATCTCAGTCTGTGTGCGTAATCTGATTTGTAAATGCGTACTGAGATTTGCAGATGTGTACAGTAATCTGTAAATCTGTATTCAGAATCCAAGTGCATTCAAGACATGCAAGAAACTAGCTTAGGGGTCACAGATGCAGCTCAAGCAGGTCAGTGGTTAGAGATCCAGGTGAGTTGTTGCTGAAACAAACGGGTCTTGTTATTAGCTCATATCTCCCTTCCATTTTAAATATTGAGGAAGATATTCTTGCTAATAAGCACTTGAGGGATTGTAGTGATGACAAGCAGATTGAGAAACAGTGACAAGAGTCTGATCAGGGTCATAGACCATTAGAATGACTTCAGCCAGAAAGACTGTTTCCAGAGTTTACTGGGTCTAGTCTTCACTTTGTGACTGTGGTCAATCGCATACCGCTGCAGGTTAACAGCTTCCCTTCCTCTTCCTCTCCAGTCAAGCAGCCGCCCGTAATCAAGGAACAGCCAGTGTCGTACACCGCTTTCACTGTTGATGACATCATTCTCACCTGTGAAGCCTCTGGAAACCCACCACCAACGTAAGTCTTCAACACTGCAAGACTATGTATTCAAACTGTACATTGTCACCTCCCACTGTCAGTGTCCACTCAGTACAGTGTCCACTCAGTACAGTGTCCACTCAGTACAGTGTCTGCTCAGTACAGTGTCCACTCAGTACAGTGTCCACTCAGTACAGTGTCTGCTCAGTACAGTGTCCACTCAGTACAGTGTCCACTCAGTACAGTGTCTGCTCAGTACAGTGTCTGCTCAGTACTGTGTCCACTCAGTACAGTGTCCACTCAGTACAGTGTCTGCTCAGTACAGTGTCCACTCAGTACAGTGTCCACTCAGTACAGTGTCTGCTCAGT